AAAGCATATAAAATTGTAAAACTAAGTTGCATAGACTTACATGGATAATCTGTAGTTATTGTGTGTGTAATTGGATGGCAGTTGTATTGTTTAGGTCTGGTTTCATCCTTGAGATAAACAGTGATTCCAAGGTGATAAGGTCATGTCTGTGTGAGGCAGAGGTTAGAATGTGAAAATCTTGTTGTGTGAGTGGATGTCCAGTGGAATAGCAGTGTTCTCTGATGGCAGATGGTGATGGTGAACTAAGTAGAACATCTGTACGGTAAGACTTCCCTATATGCTCTAGGATACGGTGTTGTAGAGAGCGTGTGGTACTACCCACATATCGAGAGTTACGTCTCGAACATTTAGATTGATACACAACACAGGATCTCAGGGCAAATGGTAAAGGCTTAGTTTTATTCAATAGAGAACGGATGGTGGTAGTTGTTTTGAAAATGAACCTAAAGTCAGTTTGGGGGAATGTGTCGTTGAAAATGCTTTGAAGTTCCTTTCTTATGCTAAAATTTAGGTGTCCAAGGTATGGGAGAGTAACATAACATAGGTCTTTAGCTGCTGATAATACAGGTGTAGAGGAGTGTTTTTTGTTCAAGAAATTTCTTAGTATTTTATAAAAGAATTTACTGGGGTATGAATTCTCTGTGAAATAATTCAGTAAAAAGTCCATCTCTTTGTCAAAACTGACATAATCAGAGCAGATGTTGTATGCTCTGTTGATCAGCGTTGAAATGCTGTTGAGTTTGAACAGTTTAGGGGAGAAACTTGAGTAGTTTACACCCAAACCAGTAAATGTGGGTTTCCTATAAACTGATGTAGTTAACCTGCCATTTTCTTTTGTAATGAGAGTTTTGAGTTTTGTTCAATTTCATAAGTGAACTTCAGATTAGGGTGTTTTGTATTCAAGTACAAAAATATGGTTAAACCAATGTCCTGATGAATTTAAACCAAGCCTGTACCGTAGATATGTGGATGATACATTCCTTTTGTTTAAAAACTGCTTTCAAGTTGAACAGTTTGTTTTGTACTTGAATACAAAACACCCTAATCTGAAGTTCACTTATGAAATTGAACAAAACTCAAAACTCCCTTTTTTAGACACTCTCATTACAAAAGAAAATGGCAGGTTAACTACATCAGTTTATAGGAAACCCACATTTACTGGTTTGGGTGTAAACTACTCTTAAATAACCCCTCTTAAATTGCTTGTTTAGATTTTTACATTATTAGGACCAATTTGTACTTTGATTTATTTTTGCTATTTTTGCTTATGTGTTTGGTTCTTCTAACATTAGCACTGATGATGAAGTTAGTAACTTCGAAACGTCTGAAGAAATAAATGATGTTTGTAGCTGTGTTGGTGTTACTATTCCTGTTAAAGTATATATATAATATATATATATTATATATATACATACATATATATAGTTATATATATATATTTATATATATATATATATAATATATATATATATATATATATATATATATATATATGTATGTATATGTGTGTGTGTGTGTGTGTGTGTGTGTGTGTGTGACATTTATATATATATACATACACACCACACACACACACACCACACACACACACACACACACACACACACACACACACATATATATATATATATATATATATATATGTATATATATATATGTATATGTATTTGTATATGTATATGTATATGTATATATATATATATGTATATATATATATATATATATTATATATATATATATATATATATATATATATATATATTATATATATATATATATTATATATATATATGTTGTATATATATATGTAATATGTATATGTTATATATATGTATATTAATATATATGTATATATATATATAATTATATATATATATATAATATATATATATATATATATATATATATAGTATGTATATGTTCATATATATATATATATATATATATATATATATATATATATATATATATATATATATATACATTCTCCAGTAAAATGGTTGTAGTGTTATAAGCACTTGTATTTCTGTCCTTGCTATGATATCTGACCATCATTGTTATTACTCTTACCATCATTACCAGCATTAACATGGCTGGCAATAACATAGCCCCAGCCATTATCCACCATCTGCATGATCCCCGAGAGAAATGGAGGATGCACCGTTAGCGTCTCACATAGGAGTGTGCTAATAATTGCAGCGTAAATCTTGTGTAGTATATGCAACGTGTCTTAAGATTGCACCGCGGCGGAGAAGCGAGAGGGCTAAATGCAATCTCGAGTTGCATATAGGATGACTTTGTACTGGTCTGAGATGGACGGAAGAGTGATTGCAATTTGTTTCCATGCTGGGAATGATCATTAACTAGAGTGATTCTTAAAACTTTATACGAGTCCTTAACGATGGATAACTGCTCTCGATGCGAACAAATGGAGACAGAAGAGAAAGGCGAAAAGGAGAGAGAGAAATGGACATTTGAGGGATAAGAAGAAAACGAAAGAGAGAGAGAGAGATAATGAAAGTGATAGGGATTGATACATAAAGGAGAAAGAGAGAGAGAGATTAAAGATTAAAGATTTAGTTTTAATTCCATTTGTTACAATGGATATACTTTGCTGTGACATACTGTCTGTTTTATTTTGCCCAAATCTCCCCCTGTGTGCAAAGGAGTGGCCGGGGATCAACCACTCA